CCACTGTTCTCACTCTAGTACACAGGACACCGCTAAGCAAACACTACTCAGTCACAGTGGAAGCACGTGGATAGACCGCAAGCTAGATACGCTGAGATCAACACTGAACTTTCATGCAAAGCAGGGTCAATTACATGGTACGATTGGAGGAACCTATGAAAACAATCCCAAGCTAGAAACATCTCTAATAAACCCATCGTAATGTCTAAAACGTCTGCCATTAAGAGCTCAGTGATGTCAGATGCCTCCAGGTATGCAACTCAAAGCTAGAGTGTATCTCAGGAGGGCGGCAGGTGTGGTTCTGTGTCGTCACTCAAGGCTGGCGCCACAAGGGGCAGGCAGAGCCCTGGAGCCCACAGGTAGAGGGGAAACGGACTAGCCAGTCCTGTGCACTGCTTCTGTAAGAGCAGCTGGGGGTCCAGGGCACAGGGTATATGGGAAGGACAAGGTCAAGCCCAGGGAAGGTTGAAGCAAGTGTCAGGCTAGGGACAGCCATTCTAACAGGCTCAAGAGTTGAGACATCTGATGCTGATGCCGGAAACATTGAGCTGTGTTCCCAGAGCTCTGTTCTTTGCTCTCGCTGCGGCTAAGAGTACATAAAGCAGGAATCAAACCAAGGGAGGAGAGAAAAACAAAAACACTCCCAAGCTTAAAGGAAGACTGGGGTAAAAGGCAGGGTTACCAGGCAGACAGTTAAGTGAGAATCATGGCAGACACCCAGACCCACAGCCAGGGCCAACACAGTGGAACAGGGAGTCCTGTGGCCCAGAAGTTACTCCCACCATGACTTAGGCTGAGTCCCACCAGATGGGGAGACTGGGCTACCATCAACCTCCTTTCCAAATCCGGATTAGCTCAGGCACTGGAAGGACCTTGTCAGTGCCGACAGGGCCCATGAGCAGTGGGAAGCCAGGCAGGCAGGCACAGCCTGCCTTCACCCAGACACAGCACTATCCCTATCTCCTAAATGACCTGACAGGAGCCCAGAGAGGGTTTCCAGCTGATCTAATGTCTAGTATGTGACCTTGGCCAGAATGACACACCATGAAGTGTTCTTTCCACTGTGCCAAGGTGGATTAAGTCATTTTATCACCAGAATTCCTCTTTTAAAAGGTAAGAGTCTTTACAGGGTGAGAAAAACAATGATCCATTAACAACTTTAACAACTTAGACTTTTTTTTCTAACAGAGATTGGGCATCTGCCAACCTAGGCAGATTCTGAGAGAATCAAAAGGTTTTAGAGTGTTTTCGTGTGTTTTGAGATTTGATGGGGGCGGGGTTTAGAAGAGTAGAGCTAAAGAACAAGATACAGCTCAATTCTTCTCTAAAAAATGACACCCAGCACCTAAGTGAAAAGCTGATAACCAGGATCAATCACCAAAATAAAGCCTCTGAGACAGCTCAAAATTTCCAAATGAAACAACAAAAATTAAGACAACAAACCAATAAAGGAGAAACCAAGCATCTCTGGGAAGACAACCAGAAAACTTTAACAAAATAAAATCAGTTCATTCTTAGAGAAGGATCAACCTCTTGGCTAAAGAAAAGGCCATTCCTTCCCATTTGTTCTCAAGGCCTCCCAAAAGAAGACTACTGAATCCAAACAAATTAATTAATAAGTATGATCAAAATGAGGAAAAGGTAAGAAGAGGTTAATGTGTACATACATGTATATAAGCACCACATTCTCCTAGAGTCCAGTTCCTCAAAACTCAAAGAGATCTTTACACAAATTAAAGTGGACTATTTTAAATCTTATTAAAATGACTCTATTACAGCAGTGGAGAAGCACGGAGGTCTTAGGCAGCAGGTTCTGGATTTCTTTTTTACAGGAACGTTAAATTGAAGGGATTTCAACTCTGATACTCTTCCCAGGATTTAAAAAAGAAACAAAACCTAGGTTTCCAATTCAGTAAATCCCAATTTGATTTTAGAATTAGGATACTGCCACCAAATTAATTACTTTAAACACACAAATAATATTTTAAGGTCTGACACAAGAGAAGGTGTTTAACTATCAAGTTTAAATGCATCATTTCTTCCATTTCTTCAATCCTTTCCTTCCCACATACATAAAAAACATATGTGAGTGTGTATATATACATATTACATATATATAATATATATTAAATATATATATTATATATTATATATATTATATATATAATTTGTGTGCATTTTATATATGTATAATATATATTATATATTATATTATATATTATATATATTTGTGTGCATTTTATATATAATATATATTATATATTATATATATTATATATTATAATATATATAATATTATATATAATATATATTTAATATATATATAATATATATAATATTATATATATTATATATATATAAAATGCACACATCTCTAGAACTTACAGTATACAGGATTTTCAATAACACATGAAGATTTTTAAAGTGATTTTTATGAGATAGAAAACTATAAAGTAAAGAAGTGAATGAATGATAAACTCCCAATTCAGGGCTTTTCACTGAGTGGGGTTGGGAATGAGACAGGATTGGGAAGGAGTGCCTGGAGTTCTTAAAGGCCATCATAATATTATTTTTCTTAAACTGAGTGATGGAGTGATGTACCACTATTCTCTGTACCTTACTTATATTTTGTAATATTGTTTAAAATAGTCAATATTTAATAAATACAAGTCTTTTTTAAATGAGTTTGTGTGATTGTCACTGTGGAAGGTATTCAAAGACATACATAATTCAAACCCTCACTTCAGAATGTTTTTTTCAATAGTAGTGTTACTCAATAAAAAGTAAAACAATTAAGATGACTGTACGAACTTGTTCCGGGGCCAACCTTCTACAGAATTAACAAATCTTGAGAGAAACCTTATTTTTCTAAACTTCTACACAGATATGCTCAATTTTTTCCCATTATGTACTCCTTCATTCTGTTTGCTTTTGTAAAAAAACTATTTTTCCTCAGCTTCTATGTAACTTTCATCATTTTGTAAAAAACACCTTAATTCTTTCTGTCTGAATGAATCTGAAGAAATAAAAATGGGGTTATACCTCTATGAATGACATACAATAGCATGATTTGTATCACCCAAAATGACCATAAAATTAGGTTCAGTATTTTGATAGTGAAAGGCTTTCAGTTTGCCTGTTTTGTTGTTTCCAACTATATGTTGCCAGCAGAAATCTCTAAATCAGGAAAACACCAATAATTTTTTAACGTTTCTCCAACTCTATGTTTTCTACTCTGCTTTCAATAAAGTCATAAAAACATCTTAGATACATTTTTGTTCAGATATGTGGAGTATTTAATTTTGTAAGGACAAACTAAGCAGTGAATTCCAGTGGTCTTCAAAAGCCAGCTACTTCTAATATTTCAAAAAAGCCTAAAAGATATATTTGCCTGTAACTAGCCCAAGCTAGAAATGAAAATATTTTTGCTTTTTCCACTGGAATCCTGCCAGGTCTTCCTAAAGTTAGCTGACTATCTCATGCTGATCAGCTCTTCAGACATATTGTTAAAATATGAGGTCCATGAAACAAAAACAGTAAAAGTGGTCTTATTATCAGTATTCATTTTTTTTTAAATCAGTATTTAAAAAACAGCAACCGGCCGGGCATGGTGGCTCGCGCCTGTAATCCAAGCACTTTGGAAGCCAAGGCGGGCAGATCATCTGAGATCGGGGGTTCAAGACCAGCCTGACCAACATGGTGAAACCCCGTCTAAAAATAAAAATAAAAATAAAAAATAAATAAATAACAGCAACCACAAGGTCTGGAGCCCACTGAACTGGAATACTTCTATCACTGTTATCAGAAACCCCAGAGAACCCTGATTCTCTAACTTTGTTAAAAACGTGCAAGTCAACTTTCAATTACTTTTTTTTTTCAATGTTTAAGTTCAGTTCTCTGCTCCTTCATCTTTGTAAAACAGAGTCAAGGGAAGTTAAGAGCATCAGGTGTTTCCGTATCACATATTCTTCCTGCTACAAGCCAGGCTAACAGAACCAGAACTGTTTCTCTCTTCTCCAGCTTCTAATTCTCCTTCAAATCAAACCGAAACCCTCCCCAAACTATTGCTCTTCGTAAAATTAAATACGCCAGTTGTCTGAACTAAGCTAAACTAAAAAGGCTACTTTAAATGAATAACCTTTCAAAACAAACCAAGTCAGCCTTCAACGTAATCCCCTTTGGCCACACAGGGCAGCCCAGGGGACAGGTGCAGGACATGTCTTCCTAGAGGCTATCTCCTGCTCCATGAATCTGACCTTTTCCAGCTGGTAGCTCTGGCACCTCACAGATCAGTTGTCAGTAGGCTGAATGCCTGCTTTCCATCTGCGCTTTCCAAATGGCTCCTGATGCCAACAGCTGAGATATGACCTGGCTCTCTAATGAGAACATGCTTCCCAAGTGACATGCCAGGTTTCCCTGGAAGCATTTCTAAATGCAGTCTCTGAGCCGCCCCCCACCTTCACCACCCAGTCACGGTCCATTCTTCCTTCCCACCATTTCCTAATGCCACCTCTTGATGCTATGCCTCCAATATCATGTCCCTTCAGTCCCAACTCCTTACTCACTTTCATCAACTGCTGACCCTTGTCCTGCCCTACATCTCAACTTCAAATCCGAAGGGCATAGTTCTGGCCAGGCATGGTGGTTCATGTCTGTAATCCCAGCACTTTGGGAGCCTGTGGTGGGTGGATCACCTGAGGTCAGGAGTTCAAGACCAGCCTTGCCAACCTGATGAAACCCCATTTCTACTAAAATTACAAAAATTGGCCCAGGCATGGTGGCACATGCCTGTATTCCCAGTTACTTAGGAGGCTGAGGCATGAGAACTGCTTGAACCCAGGAAGTGGAGGTTGCAGTGAGCTGAGATCATGCCATTGCACTCCAGCCTAGGCAACAGAGCGAGACTCTGTCTCAAAAACAAACCAACCAACAAACACAAACTCAAAGGGCATAGTTCCAACATTTTGGAGCTGCTTTGAAGTGATCTTTCTGAGCCCTACCTGCAGGCAGGCTGGTCATGGCTTCTTCCCTTGCCTTCTTCAGCTTCTCCCTGACCCAGGGAAATTCCTGTAGGGAATCTAGGAATGTATCAAATGCTTTAGGGCCCCTGGAAGGTAGGATATCCAGCAGCAGCATTGTTTTCCGGAGGCCTGTGGTTTGAGCATTGATTTCTTGAACATGGTTTTCCGTCAAGACTCCTTCCTGGTAGAGGTACTGAAGAACCAGTCCTTCCACCAATACCTCTGCACCCAGCTCCAGGCGAAGTGAGCGGAGCACTTGTTTGTCTCTGGCCTCCATTTCTCCCTGGAAAAAGCCAAAATCACAGCTCAAATTACAGACATGCCGATGTGCCCCTAACGACAATGTCACTGAAATATAAGTTCCTTCAAGTCAGGCATATCTTCAGACCGTAGCAGAGTGCCAGGCCATGGTATTTAATACACGGGTGAAACCAAGTTAATTTTGAATGTTTCCTGACATAATGAACAACACCGAAGATTAATCACCTTTTCTGTTTCTGCTTTTCACACAATGGAGTCCCAGCTCAATTCCTTACTCAAGAATGAAATTTGGAAAAAGAAAAAAAAAAAAAAAGTGGGTCAGAGACCCTTCTGAAAAAGCAATTTTTATCTGAAGATCACAGAGCAGCATTAATTTTAACATGCTGGAGAAGAAATGGTGGCTTTAACATTGCCCTCATCAGACCTGCACCACCACCACGGCAGAAACTGCCACACTGGACGCAGGTGCCCTTTTGACCGCAAGTATTTGCAGTACCTGATCGGTAATAGGAGTGCAGGGCAGAAATCAGCAGCAGGCACAGAGTTTAAAGCTCTTTTTGCTAAAAGTCCTCTACACCATCACCTTCAAGAAAAAGGTTGTTTTGTGCCCAGTCTACAATAAAACTTACACAATATACAGTCACAAACTCCATTCCTTCCCACTAAGAATTCAGACTGCTGCACATTATCGTGGCCACCCCTGCATGGGACATTTTATGGGATTTTTTTTTTCTTTCTTTAAAAAAAAGCTCACACCCAGCACTGGTCAGTAGCCAGGCACGATCTGAAGGTGCAGTTTCACCACCCCTGCCCCAGTGTGCTGTGGCTTGGTTGTGTGTAAGGCAGTGAAGAATAAATGACAGGGAAGGGAGGTAGGGATGACAGATGCGGCTTCAGACACCCCCAGGCAGTACTACTGCTGGGCAACACCCAAGCCCACACGCCCCCTCGCAACCCTGTGAAGTTAGGCAGGTGGCAGGTGAAGAAGGGAGGTGTTCCCATTTGGCTGTGAGCGCCCATTGGTAACTTAAAAATTCTCTGCCTCGGCCGCTGGAACCCTTGTATCAAACAGGAAGAACTATGGGCGGTTTCTGTGGCAACTCGACTCGCTAAAGAGGGAGTGCTGGGAATAAACTTAAGAGCGGACCACGGGGACAGCGGGCCTCCGGCACTGCCGCAGCCACCCAGCCTTGGCCCGGATCGGAAATGGGGAGCAAGTTAGAGGGGCGGGGAAGCCCCCGCAGGCCCAGGTCGCAGATGCTACAGTGCAGGACTTTCAAGAAAAGATGGATTCCTGTTACTTACGTCTGCAACCACGTATCTTTGGGGCGGGGGAGAAAAACGGCAACCGGAATCCTGATTGTTAGGGAACCTGCATCGTAAGCACCATCTTTGTTAGAGGCGAAAACCTTAAACAGGAAGTGTTGACGCCATCTTTGTTGAGGGCAAGCACAGGAAGTGCTGTCGCCATTTTTATTGAGCGTTCAAGGGTCGGATTGAAGCTCTTCCCGCCATGTTTACTGTGGGTAAACAGTCAATCGCGGGGAGCTGGACAACAGTAGCATCACTTAGAGGGTATCTAAGTAATGGAGTAATTTTTGACCTGACAGAGAGTCAGGTCAAAAATCACCCTAGGAGAGAAGCCTTCTCTGACCTATGTGATTAAAACTGCAACATAGCCGCCCTCATCTCCTGCACTCCCCATTCTCTTAACCAACTTTATTTTTTACATATCACCATCTTACTAAAACTTTTCACTTATTCATTTGTTTATCCCTCTGCTTCCCTCCATTAAAATGCAAGTTCATTTCTTTATATCAAGGGTTCCTGCCCACGAAGAGTTTACAAATCTGTCGGTCAGGATTTCATTGCAGCACTCAGCTAGTTAGTTACTCCTAGTCAGAAAGGGATTTGTCAGTGGGGACTGGAGACATTAGAGATCATTGGAAAGGCTGGAGAAGGGCTGAATATCCACGGATGACTACCTGGAGAAGAGTGCCATACTGGCTCCTGCCCACAATAAGGAAGATGGCATCAGGAAGTTGCCATGCCTTGTCCACAACGTCCTCTCAACACCCAACAGAACAATTAACAGGACACTGGAACACTGCTGCAAAACACCATGGTCTCGACAGCTGCATTTGCTAGCAGCATGAAAATGGCACCTGCAAATCCTGCTCTATTGTGTGCAATTGGTGAGACCAATTTCACATGCAGAATTAGCAGCAAGGATGTCTAAAGCGTGTAGCTTTCCAGCTTGTGAAACACAAAAAGGTATACCAAATGAGGGAAGGGCTGATACTAAAGGCCAATCTACTGCATCCACCACATTTTCAATTTGGAAAGCAAGACAAAATGCATGACCCAAATATAGAGAAACACAGGGATGTCAAATTAAGTGTCCTTCCTCACATTCCTTTGTGAAGTGGGGCAGTCAATCGATAAATACATTCATTGATTCATTTTAAAATCAATTGGATGATACATACAGAAAGTCATACGCTTACTAAAATTTAGTTGACAGTACAGGGGAAAAAACTCCTAAAATGTTATTTCTGCCAAAGTTTTCACAGCTAAAACCTTTGATGGAAAATAAAAATGTCTTTGTAAGCAAATCAATGGAGAACAGTTCTGAACCTCCCTCCTCAAAACCTTCTAAAATTGTATTCAATTTACAGTATTACTATGCCAGTTACCATTTTACTACACCATTAATGACAGTATTTTTATCATGTAGCGAGTATTATTACAGTCATTCATTGCATAACAACATTTGGGTCAATAACAGACTCCATATATGACAGTGATCAGAGCAATAGGCTATGCTGTATGGCCTAAGTGTGTAGTAGGCTATACCATCTAGGTTTGTATAAGTACACCCTATTTTGTTTGCACAATGATGCATTTCTCACAATGTATCTTCACTGATATAACTGTGTTAGCATTTCGCATGTGTAAAGACTGTGGAATCAGAATGGTCAATTGGCTTAGCCAAAATCTCACAGCTAATATAGAGCAAAACTTGAACTCTAATAAAGTGTCTCTGATTTCATGCTCTTTCCAGTACTCCATATAACCCTGTATAGTGAAGAGTTTTTTTGTTCTAATGATAGTCAAATATTATTTGCAAATCATCCTGTTGCCACCTCCTATTCTTGATACTCTTGAGCTCCAGGTGCTCTCTTTTCTCTCTCCCTTTTCCCCTTTTGCTTGAGAATCATTGTCTTTTCCTCAGCAAGATTTCCTATCTGTAAATAAACAAGTGTTAGAGACATTCTTTGTCTTCATCCAGATAAAATGCAGACTGCTTGCAACATTGCCAAGTGTTGAGGTTTACAGGTTGAACATCCCTAATCCAAAAATTTGAAATTCAGAATGCTCCAAAACCTGACTGGGAGTGGTGGCTCATGCCTGTAATCCCAACACTTTGGGAAGCCAAGCAAGGCAGATCATTTGAGCCCAGGAGTTTGGGGCTAGCCTGGGCAACATAGTGAGATCTCATCTCTACAAAAAATACAAAAAAAATTAGCCAGGCATGGTTGTGTATGCCTGTAGTCCCAGCTTCTCAGGAGGCTGAAGTGGAGAATCAATGGAACCCAGGAGGTGGAGGTTGCAGTGAAACAAGATCATGCCACCACACTCTGGCCTGGGCAACAGAGAGAGACTCTGTCTCAGAGAAAAAAAAAAGAAAAAAAAAGAATGCTCCAAAACCTGACACTTCTGAGTGTGAACATGATGCCACAAGTGGAAGGTCCCACACTTGACCTTGGGTAAGGAGTCTCAGTCAAAACACACACCTTTGCTTCATGTGCAAAATTTTTTTAAATATTGTATAAAATTCTTTTCAGGCTCTGTGTATAAAGTATATATGAAACGTAAGTTTTGTGTTTAAACTTGGGTCCCATCCCCAAGTTTATTATGTATATGCAAATATTTCAAAATCCAAAAAAAAAAATTCAAAATCCAAAACACTTCTGGTCCCAGGCATTTTGGGTAAGGGATAGTCAACCCAAACTAACTTTTTTGGAGAGGAAAAGCAAGTGGATTTTTTTTTCTAACTATAAACTTTGATAATTTTCAAACATATAGGAAAGTTGAAACAAATAGCGCAATAAACGCCCATATAAAGTTTCCTGTTTCTTAATGACTCATCATATTTGGAAAGGCTTGCGATCTCCTAGGAGCTAGAAGGTGAGCCTTGATGACAGTGCCCAGGAGGAGGTGAGGAGCCAACAGTAGGATCTGCGAGAGTTCACCGAAGAGAATCAGCAAGAGATAGCAGGAGAGTGTCAGGGCAGCAACCAAGGGGCATGGCGTCCTACAGCAAACAACCTGAGAGTCTGGCCATTAAAGATCTGACTCTTAAATCCACAACATGAAGCCTTTGGCCATCAAATTCCTCTTCCCATGGCAAATACAGATGAGTATCCATGCTGTCTTTTAAGCAACTAGGCTAAACAACTAGCCCACTCCCATCAGCCAACACACCTTAGCATACAGCGATACTTCGTGGCAGCACACCAAAGACCCAGCTTCACATAGACAGATTAGCTAAGGCAGGAGGGCTTCTAAGGAATGAACACAGATCAGCATCATTATCACAGGTGGCTACTCCTCCTCTCTGGCCAGCGCCTCTCTGTAGTCTGGAACTGTACCCCCACAGAGGATTAAGCACCTGTTACCCAGTGGTAACAAATCCATCTTCAGGAAAGACAGATATTTTCATTTTTCTCTCTCCCCTAGTATGTTTACTTGTGTCAAGATATCCCTATTGTGAGTCTGCGAAAGGAAGAGTCAGAAAGAACAAATGCAGTATTTTTCTCTTTCAATTGGGTCTTTGGTTTTGCAGCCTTCAAAAAATAAATCAAAGGAATTGGATGTTTTGATTGTTCCTGTTTCATTGATGTAGAAATTAAGTCATGGGGAAAAACAACCTTTTCAAGCATGGTTGAAACATTTATTAAAATAGATCATAACTCAGGTCACAAAGAAGTGTTAACAAATTCCTGAAAATCAATAGCATATAAACTATGTACTCTATAATTATACAATAAAATTAGGAATTCTGACAAAAGGATCACTTCCATAAATCTGGAAACTAAATAAAACAATTCCTAACCCCTTGTGTTTAAAAAAAAAAAAGGTCACACATGTATAACTAATAAAATATAAAAAGAAAAAAAAAAGAAACTTTATATTAGAGAAACCTGGCAAACATCGCCTTACCAAGTGATCAAGGTTAAACATCCCCAGTAATGAGTCATGGTGGTATCATGTGCTTCAATACGATGTCACAAGAAGGGCATATCTCCTTTGTGATATTCTCCTTCAAAATTCATAACCTCAGTCTTTTTATAAGAAAACAAACTCAAACTGAGAGACATTCTATTAGGGTGGTGCAAAAGTAATTGTGGTTTTTGCCATTACAAAATATCTGTCAAGTAAAGGGTCAAGGTCATGAAAGACAAGGAAAGATGGAGAAACTGTTACAGATTGAAAGAGATGAAGAGGTGTGACAGCTCGAGGAAGGGAAGGAGCAGAAGAAGGAGGATGAAAGGAGAAAGGAGAGAAGGAAATCCATAAAGGACTGCCCATAGTCAGGAAGAAATGAAAACTTCTGGGCCTAAATTTCTATTCCCCATTTTATCTTACCTTCCCACCACCTGACCCCCGCTCTTATTGCCCAGGCTGGAATGCAATGGGGCCATCTTGGCTCACTGCAACCTCCGCCTCCCAGGTTCAAGCAATTCTCCTGCCTCAGCCTCCCAAATAGCTCGTATTACAGGCATACAACACCTCACCTGGTTAATTTTGTATTTGTAGTAGTGACAGAGTTTCTCCATGTTGATCAGGCTGGTCTCAAATCCCCAACCTTAGGTGATCCACCTGCGTCAGTATCCCAAAGAGCTTGGATGATAGCGTGAGCCACCACACCCGGCCTATCTTAGCTATTTTCTTGACATGCAGCATAGAATTTCATATAGTCTCTATTCCCCGGACCAACCCTCCCCAAAAAGAGATAAAATAGGAATTTGTCAAAAGAAATACAGACATCTAACAAAAAAAAAAAAAGAAAAGAGGGCCGGGCGCGGTGGCTCAAGCCTGTAATCCCAGCACTTTGGGAGGCCGAGGCGGGTGGATCACGAGGTCAAGAGATCGAGACCATCCTGGTCAACATGGTGAAACCCCGTCTCTACTAAAAATATTAAAAATTAGCTGGGCATGGCAGCGCGTGCCTGTAATCCCAGCTACTCAGGAGGCTGAGGCAGGAGAATTGCCTGAACCCAGGAGGCAGAGGCTGCGGTGAGCCGAGGTCGCGCCATTGCACTCCAGCCTGGGTAACAAGAGCAAAACTCCGCCTCAAAAAAAAAAAAAAAAAAGAAAAGAAAAGAAATCTATTCCTGTAACTGTAAATCCTTAAAAAAAAAC